GAGCACGAGCCCATTTCCTCACTTTTTTGGCTGTAAAATGTGTTCCTTGGTCAGAGGCAATGCTATGTGGAATTCTATGATGGTGGATAAGGCATTCTGTGAGTCCACGGATGGCAATTTTGGCAGAAGCATTATGTGCAGCAAAGGCAAATCTATATCCAGAATACATGTCTATGCCAGGGAGGACAAAGCACAGTCCCTTCCATGATGGAAGTGGTCTTATACAATCAACCTGCCATATAATCAACCTGTCATACGGTCGCAGGTTGATCATCCCAAGAAACGGTGCCATGACAGGGACTCGGTGTTGGCCTCTGCTGCTGGCATACTGGGCATTGAGCAGTGGCTGTGGCCAGATCAGCCTTGGTGAGTCCACGTTGCTGAGCCCATGCAGAACCTCCATGCCTGCCACCATGGTCATTCTGTTCATGAGCCCACTGGCACTGACAGGGGTGGCTGAAGAAGTAGGTTGGCCACTATCCACAGAACGGATCATCTTATCCACTTATTATTAAAGTCCTCTTCCACTGATGCCACCTTTTGGTGAGCATTTACAAGGGAAACAAATATTTTTACATCCTTTGCCCACATGGAGAGGTCTCACCACATACCTCTTCCCCAAATATCTTTGTCACGGATTTTCTAATTATGTTCCTTCCAAGTTTCTGACGTTCCAGCCAGACCATTGGATACAGCTGCACGTCTGGCCATTTCTTCTTCCAGGCAAAATGTACCACCAAGTGCACTGCCCTAAGTTCTGCCCACTGTGATGATTTCCCTTCACCACTGTCCTTCAGGGATGTCCCAGAAAGGGGCTGTAATGCCACAGCTGTCCACTTGAGGGTGGTGCCTGCAGAGCGTGCAGAGCCACCCATAAACCAGGCCCTAGCCTTCTCCTCTTCTGACAGCTGATCATATGTTACATGCCGCAAGGCCATAGGTGCATGCTGGGAAACAGAAGGCAATATAGCGGGTGCAGGAGCCATAGGTATCCGGGCAACTTCCTCATGCTTTTTACTTGTACCCTCTGGAGCTGCTCTGGCTCGATCACAAATATACCACTTCCATTTCATGACAGACTGCTGTTGTGCACGTCCAACCTTATGACCTGGTGGATCAGATAATACCCAGGCCATGAGAGGCAACTCAGGTCACATGGTGATCTGGTGTCCCATGGGGCTGTGGGAAGAGACAGGAAAGGTTCGGAGATGTCACCTGAAAAGAGAAGTGCTGGAACACCTTCGACTGCTCTGTACGGGAGAGTCTGGTCAGAGCTCAGAAGACCACAAGGCTGACAGGAATGTCATGGTTTATGTCTAGATGTTCCCCCAAAGCCTCATGCAGTCATGGGGCAGGCTCCTAGAGTCTGTGATTGATCTATGATCCAATGCTGGGATTATGGGTGTGAGTGCTACACCCGCCCTGAGATGGATAGTTTGCATACAATATGAGGGAGTGAAAGGCTTGCTTGCTGCTCCTCCCTTTTGCTACTGTTGCTTTTGCTGTTTTTTACCACCCTGAACATTGCCCTCTGCCATGTGCCACTCTGCCTTGGAGCCAGCTGAGTATGGACTGAAACCTCCATAAACAGTGAGCTAAATAAACCTTTCCTTCCTTCATTTTGGGCCTCAGGTATTTTGTCTCAGCAATGAGAGAAAACTAACTAAGACAGGCATAATGTCAAAATATCACACACAAGTAAAAGACCTATTCAAACTGTAAACAGACCAATGGATTTTAATGTAATGAGTGAGAAAAAGGTAGTAAAAGCATAAATTCCAATCCATAATTTGAAGGTAGTTAACACTTCTAAACATTTTCATTGAAGAAGACAACTAAAACTTCTTTAAGAGAGTTTCTGATTTGTTAGCAGAAAGCTTTTCTCTTGAAAGGACACACGGGATCTCAATGTAGAAGATGATTAATACAGCATTCTGTGTCATTTCAAAGATCCCCAGATGATTTGGGAGCTGCCCTGGAGGCTCAATGCTGCTAATCACTCCCAAAGGTAACATCCCTAGAAGCATTAGCTGAAAGGCAGCTCACTTCATGATGAACAGCTCCAGCTTAGGACATAGGATCTACTTTGGGCTCTGTTACCCTCTAGCCAGCTGACCTTGAACACCAATTTCCTCATCTAAAAGATAGAAAATACAAAGGGAAACTGGAGAATAAGAAGGCACATGCATGAAAATTAAAAAAGACATTGATAGTGAAAGATTTACACAATGCCTAGCAGGATTAGACAATAAAAAAACCTGTTGATATATATATTTAAAATGATGATATATTCAGAGATCAGAAGAACCAAAAAATCTGACAGAGGCAATGGACAATCCAATGTTTTGGATTTTTTCTTTCTCAGAATCCTGGAAAAGACCTCTAACAGGAAACTAGAGTATCTAGCATTTTAAGAGAAAGAGCTGGCCTTAAGGATAGTAACTATGTAGAAGTTTTACAGTCCTTTCAGGCATCTAGCTACAGGTCACCATGAGTCAACACAACAGGCGTATGAGTCATAGTTGATATGGACACGATTAACTTTATGACAGTCATTAATATCCATTAATTTTTCTGTTTTTACTTCATGGTCATCAAGAAATCCATTCATAAGCTGGCTTTTCCCACAAATTTCTTCCTGGGACCAGTGTCAACTATCCTATCCCAAAGCAGCTATATTTTTCACCACAATCTCAGTTCTACAGAAAATTGAACCCGAAGCCCCCAAAGCCTCTACTGTTCACAGTGATTAACTTATTAGTTAACTAATAACTTATTAACTCCTACACATTTAAAATGACACTAAGAAAACATTATCGTTAGGTGGACTGAGGTCAAACTATCCTTGGGAAAATTCAGAAAAATACTACAATTCTTTCCATGAACCAAGTGACAAAGCCTGACTGCAATAATATTCTGACTTACAGGTCTTTAGTGAGTAGACTACTGTAGGCCCTGCATTCAGTGTTAGCCTCACTAAACAATGAGCTGGCCTACCCTGTCGCCTGCTCTACAGGGTAACCACAGTTCATTCAGGCTTATGCCTGTGACAGACCTTTCCACAAAACTTTCAAGGAATTTACATTCCTCTTGTAATAATACTGAAAAGATAACATTCTACTTAATACAGGACCATTTCAACAGTTTCAAAATTATATCTTAGAATAGAAAATGTATTAATCAGAAATATTAAATACTGTATTAAAATACAGTAACAATCTTTCTAAAACCTACATCAAAGGAAAAAAATTTCCCAGGTGTTGTAGATTTTAGAATAGGAGAAAAGGCAAACATTAGAACTAAAATAGCTAAATTAAAACCCAAGAAAACCTCTGAAAAAATGATTCCAACAATAGAAATTTCAGCATAATTTTTCAGTTTCCATTTGAAACTCCTACTGAAATCTTATTTAACTTTCTTTTTTTTTTTTTGAGACAGGGTCTCACTATGTAGTTCTAGCTAGCTTTAAACTCACTGCAGAGCCCAGGCTAGCCTCGAACTCATGGTGATTCTCCTGCCTCTGCCTCTGAGGTGCTGGGATTACAGGCGTGCGCAACCATGCCCAGCATGAAATCTTATTTAACACTTTGAGGAAAAAACCCAACAACTATACATTTTTATAAGAGCACAAGTCTCTTGAGTATTCAAAGAGAAATAACATTTAGGTGGTTGTTATAAAGCTTTGGCCATCTAACACCAAGATGAAAGGGTAGACAAAAGAGACAGAGGGAGAGGTCAATCAACCCAAATCCAAAATTAAATGGCTCTGGAGAGCACAATAAAACTGAGCATGAAAATTCTCCCAGGAAGTACATTCTATGACTGTGAATACTTAGAAAATTTTCTAGGAAATGAGATTTTAAATCAACAGTATGCGTGTGAGAATCGGTAGTGCTAACCAAGGTGTAACTGTAACTTGACTGCACCTTCACAAAGCGATGTTAGAAAAGAACTTCAGTGAAGCAAAGCAGGTTAGAAACAAAGAGGATACTGAGGATGAATGCAGATTATTTATTATTCCAGGTACAGAAAACAGTAACCTCACATGTGATAACAAAACTAGAAGTTTATATGTAGCTTTAGTCTGCATTTTGGTTAACAGCTCAAACGAGAAATGAAAGTGAAAAATACTTACTATAGTAACCATATAATACTGTGTCCTCAATCTGTCTGCTGACATTAGCATTAGCCCAGTCCTGGGATAAAAAGGAAACAATACAAGTATTAATTTTAATATCTACATGCCTAACAATTATAGTTAAGAGTTAATCTGGCTGAATGTTACTTCCAAAGGCTATCATTAACTAAGGCATGGGCTATGTCTTGCGGTGGGCAGATGTGAAAACAGACAAAATTCCATACCTAAAAGCTGAGATTAAGATAACAACATAGTTCTGGGAGAAAACAAAAATAAAAGGCTCCTAATTCAGGCTGAAGATCAAGGATAGCTTCCCCCGAAAATATTTAAATGAGACAAAATATTCTCTGGGGAAAGGAGAAAAGATGGGAAGAGAGAAAGGAAGATACAGGAAGGTTTTTAAAAAGTGCAAAGAGCTAAATACAGATCTGGGAAAGCTAGGAGACAGCAGGAGGAGGAGGAAGGGCCGGAAGGAAGGGCATCAGTGTCTGCAGTACTTGTGAGTCACAGTAAGTGTTTACCCTAAGGGCACTGAAAAGCTGTGCTGCATTTTATGCAGAGACTGACAAATCCGACTTGTACTGTAGAAAGAAGACTTGAGAATATTACACATTCCTGAAAAATATCTAAAAGGCCATCAAAATCTTTTGTACGCACCCCATACAAATGTTCTTTAAGTTACTAAACTTAGAAAATATAATTCAAGTTAATCTTTTCAATAGAAAAAAATCAGTACACTGAGTCAGAAACGAGGTGTAATGGGCAGTTTTGTTTAATATCCTAAATTCTGTGCACATGAAAAATTAAACCTGGAGAGTCTACAGAACTGATCGCTGCTATTAAGTATCATGATTAACTGCTACTAATTTATCAAGAATTATTAAATTAGAATCCAAACCATTTTTTTTTTTTGAGTCAGGGTCTCACTATGTAGTTTAGCCAGGCCTTAAACTCACTGTGTAGCCTGGGCTGGCCTTGAACTCACAGTGATCCTCCTGCCTCAGCCTCCTGAGTGCTGGGATTATAGCCATGTGCCACCACACCCAACTCCAAGCCAAATTTTATGAACATTTAAGAAAGAATATCAGTATCTAATTCTCTTAAAACAATGCGATCTTTCTGTCTACAAATACCTTTAGTAATGAGCACCTACGAGTTTGATGCTGATAAAATAAGAATGCACAAAAGCCAAACTTGTACAAATGTAAAACCTTCACACAGAATGTATAAGAACAGTAATTTTCCACCAGCTAAAAGGAATAACAAAAAAGAAAAAGTCAATTAAAAAAATGTGCTAACAGGTTGGCCACGCCTGTAATCCCAGCACTAGGGAGACTGAGGCAGGAGGATCATTGCAAGTTGGAGACCAGCCTGGGCTACAAAGGGAACTCAAGGCCAGCCTGAACTGCATAGCAAGACCTTGTCTCAAAAAGACAAAAAAAAAAAGTGGTAACACATTCTAACATATAATATTTAAAAATCTAACTAAATGAAAATAAATCTAAATAAATGACAAGTTTCCTGTTCCGCATGAAAAGAATGTCAGTATCAGTTCCTTCCAAATTAATCTATAAAATATATATGGACAATGAGAATCCCAATGTACTGAGCCAGGCATGGAGGAATGTTCCTTTGCTCCCAGCTACTTGGGAGGCTGAGTCAGGAGGACTGCTTGAGCCCAGAAGTTTGGGGCCACCCTGGATAACACAGCAATATCCTATCTCTTGAAAAAAAAAAAAAAATCCTGTTAGACTAACGGTAAAGAATATTGACAGGCTGATTATAGAGGACTTCTGACGAAATAGGCAAATGCTAGGAAAAATATCAACAATAAGGAATTTCCCAACTACCATACTTTACTTAAAAAACATAAAAACCTATTATTGTAGTAACCGTTTACCTACCTAGTTGACATAATGTAAAAGAATAATATCTAGTAGTGAAAAAATATAGAAGAAAATCCATCTCCTACACAGTAAGACCGTATATGGTCTGCACACTTTTTATTGGATCTATCCTAAAAATATTCACACAAGTTGAGAGAAATCAGCACATAGGTATTTTTAAAGTACTCCTGTTCAATGTATGACCTCAGGACTCTTATCAATTTGCCTGGGTACCAGGTAGTCCAAACAGGGTCTCCATCTCCCATGCAGGAGAAGTTGCACTCAACTTCCATTACTCATTGGACCAAGGAGCCCAAAGCTTTCAGATGTTCAGGCAGAATGTCCCAGGATCCGAACAGCCTGTACCTCCATGCTCATCAACGACTGCTGGTTTTTGCTTAGGAGTTCTTTACCCAAAGATACGCAAGGCAGTGTTGTTTAAAATACCTTTTAAAAGAAACTAGAGACAATCTAAACGTCCAGAGGAACGACAGTAACATAGATTGTACATTCGTAACATAAAATATGTAGACATTAGCACAGTGCGATCTAAACTAGGCATGGTGGTGCACACCTGTAATCCTAGCACTCTGTGAAGCTGACGCAGGGGGATCACAAGTTCAAGCCCAGCCAGGGCAATTTAGCAAGACCTGTCTCAAAATAAAAAATAAAAAACAAAATAGGGCTGGGAAGGTAGTTCAGTGCAAGGGTCCTGGCTTAAATCTCCAGTACTGGCTATAAAGGAAGATATACAAAAACTAACATGGATAGAAATCCATGAAGAACTTTCACACAGGGCAACAGAACAGGTTGCAACCAGTAGTTTTAACACTCCCAACCTGTGTCAAAAAAAAAAATTGTAGCTGGGGATATAGCTCAGTGGTACAAACGCCCGCCTGGCAAAGTGCAAGGTCCAGAGTCTGATTCCCGGTACCCACACACACACAAAAAACTGTAATGAAAGAAACAGCCAAACACACACAGAAACATGGCAAGTACAAATAATGCTCACCACCTGGAATGATGAGAATTCTACACAATGACTAGAAATTTTTCATTAATAGTTTAAGTATCCAAATGAATAGGTACACAAAATTTCAGAACATAAGAACTGTTCTTCAGTGACTGTTTATGAATCAAAACAAGTTTAAAAATATTTCTGATATAACTGTATCTCTCCCTTTTTACTTGTTATACATTTCCCAAAGTCCTCAGGAGTTTTCAAGAGGAAGGAGGAGAAGGGCGGGAGATATAGCTCAGGGGCACAAATGCCTGCCTGGCAAGCGCGAAGTCCTGGGTTCAATTGTTGTTATCAAAAACAACAAAAAAAAACCACATACAAGAGGAAGAAGGAGGCAGTAATGGCCTCACTGAGAACCTTTTAAAAGTTCACCTTTAAAGTTAGACAAGAGCTTCATCTCAGGGGAAAAAAATTAAAAGTAGAAAATCTAAAGGTAACTTAAAGCCAAATAATCATTCAAATTCAACACCTGGAACTCTACAAGGTTCTTTTGTCTAACTAGTTCTCGAGGCAATGGAGCATAAAACTGTTATTATTTTAAAGCTACGAATATGTGTAAAATTCATTCAAGCACTACTAGCGTATTTTTATACACTGTCTCACCTCCAAAGTAGTTCATGAACTGTCCGGTGAGCTTCTTAATGAAACTTCCCTCCTTCTACATTTGAAACTGCGCTGTTTTGACGTGTTTTATAAACTACTGCTTTCCAAGTACAAACTAAAAAGAACTTCACACCCTTGACACGCAAAGGAATATGAGACAATCAAAAATACTAGATACTTACTAAAGAATATTTCAGACAAGAGCAAAAGGGTATTTCTGCCACAGAACAAGGATGCAGTAGTGGGTCACGTGTAGATTCTCTTTCCTAGTCTTCAAGGTGGCTTTGTGGAAACTCAGGCTAACCTAAATTCCAACACGACTTCATCCCCTACCACTCCCCAGGGACCCCACTGCCCACATTAACCCACGCCAACTTGACTGTCCTACTGCCAGGCTAAAACCACTCTTCCTGGTCACCACTGGCCACAGCCAGCAGCCACTTCTCCACATGCTCAATTCACTTCTTAATATGATTTGAAAAAGCTAACGTTCTCTTCTAAAACACACTCCTCTCCCTCATTTTCTCTTCTGTTTTTCTTACCACTCAGGCCACAGGTTCTTCTCTTCGGCTGGCATCTACGTAGTGCTCCAGTTTTGGGTCCAATGTCCAAGTCTTCTCGACTACTCAAGCCCCTTCCCGCAGCTACCAGTCTGTCTGCAGCTCTAAACACCCATATGTCGACTGCCCAATGCTTCTCTCCAGCCCTGAGCTCTTTCTGAGTTTCAGCTCCTATGGGATACCTCCACTTGAAAATATGTAATAGGCACTTTGAAGGAAACTTGTTCGAAGTGCTCTTCTTTTTATATCTCTGCTCCTTCGCTAGGCTTGTTTATTCCTCTAGGCTTTCTGATTTCTCCAAGATATACAAAAACCCAGACATTAGTGCTTAAGTCATTCTTCCTTCATCCTCTCATATCTAATCCATCACTAAATGCAAACAGTCCTACCATCAAAAGTATACATCAATTTTAATCTATTTTCTCCATAGGTACCACTCCAGTCCAACTCACCTTGATTAACCACCTTCCCTGAATTCCCATTTAGATAGGAAAAAATCTAACTCATGAACATCACTCCGGTCATACACAATCTGCCCCCTGCCTTCCCCTGGTTCTCAGCTTGTACCAAAGCAGGGCCCTCAGCTCTACACACACTTCAGCCAAATAAACCAAATCCAACCTGGCCCGAGGGCTTTTGTATTTGCTGCTGCTTCTCCAAAATGCACTTCCACTGGATTTTTCTTCATTGGTTTTTATTCAGCGCTCATCTCAAGAAACCTGAGCAATTTGCCCTTCCTAGGCCCATCTCTGAATTACCCACTGCCTAATGAGATTCGCCTATTAATCCACTACATTTCCTTGTCCAATTTATCACTACGAAATTACCTTGGTATAGTTACTTGTTTATTGTGGGTCTAGCCTTACTGGAAGCTCTGTAGGAAAAGCGCAAGCTTATTCATTTCCACTGTAACCTTTAGCGTCTATCCTGTTCAGGCCATTCCTACTACTTAGTAAGTACTAAGTAAATAAATGTATGTGAGGAATACAAGCTTCTAAGATAGACCCGCCATCACTTGAAAACAGGAAGGAGGCAGTGGAGTTCCAGTGAGATTTGTCATAACAAAGGTCATAAAGAAACGAAGCCTCAGGGAGGAGGCAGTTATGAACAAACACCAAGACACTAAGTGTCTCCATGCCATATCTTAACTTCAGTTTTAAAATTCTTACATATTGTAAAAAAAAAAAAAGAAAAAAGATTCTTTGTTCACATCTGTCAACCTACTACCTAAAGTTACTGGCCAAGTATACAGGACTGTTTCACGGGGCACTTATGCTTTAAGGTTCTCATTTTATCTAAAATGTTCATTATTTCACCACAGGCCAGAAACAAAGAAATTAACTAAACAATGATGCATTTATGGGAAATGCTAACGGCAGTACAATATACCCTGCATAAGAAGGCAGAGGAAGGGGCTGGGGATTTAGCTCAGCGGCAAAAGCGCCTGCTTGGCAAGCGCAAGGTCGTGAGTTCGGTTCCCGGTACCAGAGAAAAACCAAAAAAATAAAATAAAAATAAAAAAAAAAATAAAGAAGGCAGAGGAAGCGAGGAGGGAAGCCACGAACAGGAAGCAATGCTGCCTGACTGCCCACGGAAAGCTATGGCAAGCAACCACTGACAGGTGGAGCTTCCAAAGAACTATATTTTGTAGGCCAATCCATAAGGAATTTAGGGGCTTCGAAAGGGCGGAGGTAGAAATGGAAAAAGACAATGCATGAATTCACTGAGGAATAAAGATACAGAGGGCATAGTACCATACAGAAAATAATGCCGACTTGTACACTGAATACCAACTAATAAGACTGACGTAGATTAAAGCCATGGTGGCATACCTCTACTAGAGCATAAATTTACAATTGTGACAAAGTCTGAGAACGTCATTGTTAAATGCTTGCACTTGTTTTTCACAAAGTACCTGTAGACAATTCAGCCGTAAGTTTCTAGAGAAAAGAGTTAACCAAAAAGTCTTTTCAGTTCTGCTTTTGACAGTAAATAGGGTGGCTTCAAGTGAAAACTGAATTTCATTGATCAAAGAGAAAGGGTACTGGAGGGATGGCTGGCAGGAGAGACACATTCTTTGTGTATATCAAATGTATCTTTGTGTGTATCAATGTATCAAAAAAGTGTCAAAGAGCCTGATGTGGTGGCACATGCCTGTACTCCCAGCACTCAGGAGACTGAGACAGGAGGGTTGCCACGTGTTCGAGGCCAGCCTAGACTCCATCGTGAGTCCAAGGCCAGCCCCAAAATGTCTAAGAGTCAAGAAAAAAACTTATATACTATCTAAAATGAAAAGGTTAAATGCAAACAGAACTACAAACAACAAAGTAAATAAAAGTAGTACACGGAGAACCTACAACTGCGGAATAATTTCCTATAAAACAATTTTTTAAAAGCTGCTTATAGGGCCAGGGATATAGCTCAGCAGCATAGCACCTGCTTGGCAAGCATGAGGTCCTGAGTTCGATTCCCAGTACCTCAATCAATCAATCAATGAATAAAATGCTGTTTATAAAGTAGAAAAATATTATCATGCTGGTGTGGTGCTGTACACCTATACTCCCAGCAATAGGGAGGCTGAGGCAGGAGGATCACTGGCTGTGAGTTCAAGGCCAGCCTTTGCTACATAGTGAGTTCAAAACCAGCCTGAACTACACAGTGAAACTCTGTCTCAAGAAAAAAAGAAGAAAAAAATTAGCATGGACTTTGCTCCCTTCTAAAGTAAGCACAGTATTTACAGATCTGTTTTGTTTGTTTGTTTGTTTGTTTTCTGTTTGGAGCCATTTAGTAAGACAAGCCCCCAAAGCTTTTCATCAGCTGTATTTTTGTTTTGTCAGGATGATGAATTCCTAAAATCTTACACAACAAGTACAACACAATCTCACAAAATAAAAGCAAACACACAACTAGGACTGAGAAAGTGACAACTTAAGCATGGGCATCAAACAATGACTTACTCTAAAAGAAAGTTCATAATTTCATGAAAATATTATTTTGGAAATTTCAATATGAAACATTTCACCACAAAACCTAAACAAATCAAATATTCTAAACTCAAAACTGAAAAAATCTCCTATTTATATAAGTAGACAGGGGATGAATATATCGCTGTATGTCAAAGTAGTTATTATATATATTTTTACAGATTTCAGAGAGGAAAATATCCTAAAAGCTAATAATTATGTGTTATATACCTAGTATTACACCATACTATTTACAATGAAAATACCCAAATATCCTTAAAATGCCAAATCTTTTCCCCAAAAAAGTAGCTACAAACACAGTCACAAGAAGTAAACTTTTTTAAGGAATTTAATTCTAAAACGACACTTTTTGTTTCTCAGAGGAAATAATCTCATCATGTTCAGATCAAACATTAACAACGTGTCCAAAATTATTAAAGGTGTATTATTTCTTACCCAATAATATTCAGAAAATCCACTATGACTAAAACATTGCTTTCCCCTAAAATGTTTCATCTCAAAATACAAAATGCGAATTTAAGTTTAAACTATTAAGAAATACATACTCACCAGAAGACATCCTATTTACTGAGCTACTGGAACGTATCTTATACTTGTTAAGAAGTAAACCGCCCCCCGCCAAAAAAATCATGAAAAAAGCCTGGGAGCCAAATTGCAGAGTTCTGAATTCCAGGACAATGCTTACAATCTAAACCTATCTACTTTAGCTAATACTATTACTTCACAGGGCAGTTTGAGAAAGCAAAGGAAGTTAGTACGTTATACCACTTACAACAGCATTTGATATACAATAAATACGAAAGATGCTAGTTATCATCTCCACAGTGCTATGTTGTTTGGCACATACTGTGTGCTCAGCTCATACTTGCTAAATGGGTGACTGACCTATGGAAAATACAGGACCTACGGAAAATCCAGTTTTCACAACAGTTAGACCATACCTAACTATAGAAACTATTATCAAATTACTCAAGTTAATTGAGTAATTAATTAATTTGGACCAAAGTTAGACAGTTACCAAGGTATAAGGCACTACAGAGATAAACGAAATAATGCTATTTTGTTCATTAAGTACAGTGTGACCAGTAGCTGAGATACAACAGTTCCTGCTTCCTACAAACTTGCACTAACAACAAAGTAACTTGCACAATGAAAAGGAAACTTAGAAACCTTCCAGTCCCCACTCTTTACCTTTTGAAAATGAGGAAACTACACCCTAGAAAAGTCAAGTGATTTGGCCAAAGTTAAACTACTTAGATAGTTAAGTGCCAAGACTAGAACTCAGGTCTTATAATTCCCAGGCTATTGGTCTTCTGACTATGTTGTATTGATTCAAAGTACTCAATATGAGAAAGAAATGAAGGCTCGGATCTGCCACTAACAAAGGTTCTTCTAAATTATTTATATACTGCATTAATGCAAATCAAAGCACGTAAGCTTCATGGGAGTTATGAAATGCACAAAACCTATTATGAGTACTTAAAATATTTTCAGATTGCTAAATGAGTTGTCAAGGTTAATAGTCTGCTTCTAGTCTATCACGTTACATTCTCAGCCTATGTAGCATTTTCATTTCCTTATTTCCAGACCCAAAACACAAGATACACTTGGGCTGTTAAATTTTTATTTGCTAACAATTGGAAAAGGGAAGAAAATCATAGTATGATAATACTTACCTTAAATGTACCATTCTGATTTTTCATGTAAGAAACCAAAAATATATCCACTGGCAGAAGGGCAGATGTGATAAGTGCAATTGCTAGAGAGAAAATTGCTGTTATGGTGGAGACAACTTCGCTCTCCCTCTGACTTTGGTATTTCCGAACATATATCCAGCAAAATGCCAAAATGGCCTGAAATAAAACAAAAATAAATGGTTGTTACTATCCTACGTATTCTCTAACGCTGATTTGCGTATGTGTTCCAATTGGAAACTTTCAGTCAGGCAAAGGTTTTTTTTTTTTTTTCTTTTACATGTGTAAAGAAAACCCAAAACCCCTCAGAAACTTGCTCAAGATATATAATTTACAAAGCCTGAATGCAGTGTAACCCCACTTAGGTGCAAACACACAAACACACATTATTAACACTGTTCAGTTACAGATATTCCTCACCAAATAGAATGTAATAGTAAGGGTCACACCAAATACAATGACACATTAATGGTTCCACAGTGTCGTAGTTATAACCAGTCATGAATCTTTTTCCCATCACAGATCTCTCCATCTTAAGGGAGCTATGACATGTTTTCTTTCTCCACTTATTGCTGATGCATCATAGAATACAACTTGGGTGGAAATTAACTTTTGCCTGGTTATGACTGATCGGTTCAATACCAATCAGCTGAAGAGTAACTGCCAATAATTAACACACAATTACTATAATTCAAGTTTTAAAGAGCATTAAATAAGAAAAGTCAAAATGAAAATGGGCTTGTGTACACAGCATGGAGCTTTTCGGTGAAAAGAGCACCCCCACACATACTGAAGTTGACATCGCTGATCAACCAGAAATTTTTATTCATCCAGGTCTTTCCAGTGACTAACACAGAGGACAGGACTTGAGCATCAGAAGCTGGTGCAGCGCTCCTGAAACCAGGTGCTTGGCCCTAGCCCCAGACTTTCAGCTTCAGGAGATCTAGCTCAGGGCCTGAAATCTACACTGATCATGGTTTGCCAGATGCTGCTGCTAAGGGTCCAGGCTACACTGACTGTATTTTGAGAAACTTTGCTGCACTCAGTTATAGGAGCTGCAAACAGACAATCAATCAGTGGTTCTCACAATTACCTGGGTAGTTTTTAAATACTTGAGTGCATCCCCTACTCCCCATTAAGTCAACCAATTAGACAGTAAGGGTCCTCCCGGCACCAGTACTTTAAATTCCTGAGGATTCCAGTCTGACCCAAACTTAAGACACATGGTTCAAAATAAGCTTTGTTTTTGTTTGTTTGTTTTTTTGTTTGTTTGGTTTTTCTCTGGTACCAGGAACCGAACTCACGACCTTGCGCTTGCCAGGCAGGCGCTTTTTGCCGCTGAGCTAAATCCCCAGCCCCCAAAATAAGCTTTGAGATTAAAGCCTTGTTATGTCCTTTCACTGTCAAGGTTTACCCATTACAATACTTTTCTGAGCAGAAGGCCTGAATGGAACTAATAAAACCATCTACTTTTACAGTTTCCAAATAGCCCTATAACAATCAAGATATAAGAAGTTTGCCACCCCAGAAAATTACCCTTTATTTCCTCTAACCTCTCTCCCACCCCAGCTTCTGACAACCACTATCAGTTACCAGTCCCTGTGTGTCTTTTCCAGAATGGCATTATGGAATGGCATTATGCATTCACAAGGTGTGATTAAAAAAAACATGGCGTGCACTTAAACTTTTTAACATGTATTGTCTTAAAAGACATACTGCCATTAATCTACCTCAAAAAACTCCTTGCTTTGAACACACTTGTCCCCTGACCTTGGCACTTTCTGAAGCATTTCTGGAAGTCCTCTTTCGTGAGTGTCTTTTAGTGAAGCTCTCTTGGCTGCCTAAAGTCCTGAATCAATTCAAAAACACTTCTCTATCACAGTCACTTTGACCTTGGGGAAGAGCCAGAAGTTTCAGCGCCAGACGCCAAGGAAAAGCTTGATGTAATGTTTTCACGTTTGCCTTTCCACTGGATAGCACTCCACAGCAAGTCACTGTATTTATCGCTGCCTTGCAAAGACACAAGAAGACTTACGGGAAGTGGCAACAAGTGGGATAAGTGTGTTCCTAGCAAGCAGAAATATTCTGAGAATTCATGGCAGTGTTTCCCACGGAAACAGATTTTTTAATGTCAACATCAACTGTACTTTTTGATCTGTACTGTCTTTTTGAATCTGGCTTCTTTCACTTGGAATAAGGCATCTGAAAGCTAAGTTGTTGTGGGTCATTTCTTCACATTATTTCAACTGGTGACAGAAGCAGAAAAACACTGAGAAGGGACTTTGGAACCTATGCGTTGGAGCAAAAACAAAGCCACAACAAAATTTCCCAGGCACAAATTCTGATGTAACAACGGTTTACTAAGATTTTGTTTTGAGAAACACAGTAGTCATAAATGTTGTTCATATTAACATTTTGTGGGTTTGTTCTAAGTTGAATTCATACACATTTTAAACACTCCTCAAATTAGTTTTGAATTCACTGTAGGCTGAGCCTTATCCTTCTAGCCTTAGCAGTACCAGTGTCAGCTAAGTTTTGATTTCAAAAATGAAAGATCTGCACTTTTATAAAGTTCAAAGCCATGTGTATTATCACAAAAAGTGTATCAGCACCAAACATACAAGCTATAAAAAGACACCCATGCAGAACACTTAAGCCAGAGATTTTGACTTTTTGCCCTCAGAATTTCTTTAATTTTAAGAGAGCTCCAAAGAGCTTTTTGTTTATGTAGGTTCTACTTCAGTAGACATTAGTAATTGTATCATAAAATAAAACAAATGTCACCATTTATAAAGTGTGAATAGGAATATTTTGAGAGTAAGTTATATGGATCTAGTACAGTGCTTGGCCATAGTAACTGCTTAACAAACAGTAATAATAACTTAATAAGTGTCATATGAAATAACATTTAGAGTACTGTATAAAAGAAACTAACATATAACTCTGTTAACAAGGAAAGGTTTTTAAACAGTCCCCAAAATCACCTAAGAGATTCTGAACTGGTCTGGGCCTTAGAATTTTAAAAACTTCCTAGGTGGTTTTACATGAGTGTCCATGGTTGAGAATCAGTGAGGCAAAGGACAAAGTGAAAATGAAGTGTTGAATGAACTGATAAGCACATACTTCCTAGGATGATCTTAAACTGCAGAGTCTGATTCGGCGAGGCTGAGGCCCTATAGTTTGCATTCCTAACAAGTTCTCAGGTGACACCCACATTTTGAGGGACAAAGTTAACTTGGTTTATAGAAATGGAGGCTATTTCTCCAGTCACGAAAAATAAAACTGGAAAAGTGGTGTGAGCCAAATTACTGACTTTAGTAGCCAGGTACAGTGGAACAGTTTAGATTAGACATAATGAGTATAGGCAGATTATATGCAAGAGATTACAACCAGATTATAAGCAGACTATAAGCAATAATCTAATTGTTCTTTACTTAGAAGAAACTGAAGTTCATTCTGTTTGCTCAAGATCACAAAAGCAGGAATATGTGCTCCTGATGCTGGAGATGACTAGCACTAGTTCTTAAAGGGCTTGCCCACAAAACTCTTTCAGGAGATTCAAAAATTGAAAATTATAATAACTCTAAGACGTCTTCTGTATTTTTCACCACGTTGATATTTGCACTTGTGGTTTCATCACCATGGTGGGTAAAACTGCTGGTACATTATCATGAATTAAGGCAATGCCACCAAACTCCCCAAGTCATTGCACCTTGAGAAAGAAGGGACAGAGGGAAGACGGGAGGGAGTATAAAAAAAGGGAATAAAGAAACTTAAGAGTGTGGTTGACAAAGCGGTTAAAAACTAATTTTAGTAAAATCTGGCCCATGTATTTCTTAAATACTCTGGAGTAAATAGGAAGCACACATAAAGTCTTCTGCTGCATCCCAAGGTAAGATGGCCATTAGCAGGAATGCTGAAAGCCAAATCCGCCATTTTTTTAGAGCAACACCACCTTACTAGAAAAATACAACTGAAACTAGGGTAATTCCCACGGGGGTAGTTACCAGATTTTATCGAATGAACAACAAAACTATCACTTGAAGAAAAACTAACAATAGGGGCTGGGGATTTAGCTCAGCAGCACAGCGCCTGCCTGGCAAGCGCGACGTCATGAGTTTGAGGTACGGGGGGCGGGCACACGACAATATTTGTCATCAACGACAAAACTCAAGCATTCAAGTGAAAATTAGAAGTTTGGAAATTTTGCACCCAAGTTTTCCAAAGTTTTGTAATAATCTAATAATTTCCAAGTTTTGTAATAATTTAAAAGCTTAGAACTTTTCAAATAAATTTTAAAAGGCTGCAGATACCGCTTAGTGACAAGGCATTGGGTTCAATCCTCAGTGCCACAAAAAATAAATAAATAAAAATAAAACTGGATATGGTGGCACACATCTGTAATCTCAGCACTTGAGAGGTTGAGGAGGGAAGACTGCTGCCAGTTGGAGGCCAGAATGACCTACAAAGTGAGTTCAAGACCAGCTTGAACTACATAGTGAGGCTTTGTCTCAAAACAACTACAACAGAAAATTCAGAGACATTTCTCCATGGTGATTTAATGAATGTAGCATTTGGAATTATGTTGTGTCCAGACTTAAAAGACAAGCATAACTCAGTTAACCAGTACTTTCTAGATGCCTAACACATCATTTTATAAAACCATGAGTAAAAGATCTACTCAAATAACAAATGGACAAATGGATTTCAATGTAACACAATGAAAAGTTCATTCATAAAAGTTTAGATTCCACACTGCAATAAACGTTTAAGACACGTCCACTTGTTAAGCATTCATATAGTAGCAAAGAACATCCATAAGGATCTGAAAAATACTGTTCTACTTTCCAACTCCTTACTGATAGGGCTCTTCGTCATACACTTCAGCTGAAATAACTCATCTCAAAAGGCCAGATGAAAAAGCAGACATAAGAATCCAGCTGTCTTCTAATAAACTGGGAATTAAAGAGATTTGCAGAAATAGCCCTTATTACTAAATTTCTTTCCCACTCCCACATCCAAGTTCCTAACTCCTTAATACCCTTTTCATTCGTTCCTGCTGTAAGTTCACTAACTACTTTTTCCTCTGCATCTATCCAACGTCTCTCTCAAGCTGTAGACTAGGAAAGCAACGGAATTTCCCAATCACACATCAGGATGGCTCTGGAGACCACAGCCAACTTTTAGGGAGCGCGTTCCAGTGCAAAAGCACCTGTGAAAGTGAAGGCAGCAAGAGAATCCCTTCCCTAATTTTTCAATCGTGTCCTCTGTTTTTCTGGTAGACTCTCCTGCAAAACTTTACTAGCAGGAACAGACTACACAGATGTCATACACTATGTGTGACAAACTAAACATCTGATTTCCAGCACTAAAGGTTTTTGTTCTCTGTTTGTTTGTTTGTCGTGTAAGAAGTCAAAACACACTGGAACACGGAGTAACAACAGGACGAAGAGAACCAGGGAAGAGTTCTGACAACGTGGACGGGTAGAAATAAGAAACGAAAACGCATTGTTCACACTGCGGGTGGGGAAACAAGGACCAGGCCACTCTGGGCCATGACCATCCACGTTCTGTTCACTGACTAGAACCGAGCTCAGCGGAAAGAGGGCGCCCGACGTACTGTACCCCCGACGCCGCCTTCCACCTGTTCCACAGCTTGCAGAACTGGGAGGGAAAGCGATGCCGCGTCGAAGGAGCCGCTCTGGTCCGGGCAGACTCAGCCTGCGCGCAGAAGGGGGGATCCCCTCACCCCAACCCACTCGGAGGGGCCGTCTGCCACATCGGACAGGTCGAGGCGGCCACCCCGCCGCGAGGTGGAGTTTTAAGAGATCAAAAGCCTCCACGCCCCGGGCCCCGGAGGGTCTCTGGGCCCCCGGGATCGCGGCGATCCCCCGGGGAAAGCTGCGCGCCGCCGTCCCAGCCCCAGCCCCAGCCGAGGGGCCGTCCCCCTGGCGCGGGGGCGCGAGGGTCCCCGGCCGGAGAGGCCCCGCCTGCGTCCCCCGGGCCGACCCCGGGGCCACTGCAAGCGCCTCCCCTACCAGCAGGAGGAGGCCGAATATGCACCAGCCGATCACCAGCTCGGCCGAAGCCGCGCCCGCGGTCGCCGCCGCCATCTTCGCTTCCGGTCGGGCCGGGGCCGAGCCCAGGAGGAGGGGAAAGGGGAGGGAAAGGGGAGGGGAGAGGGCAGAGAGCGGGGCCGCCGAGCCCTCGCACCCTAAAGGTTAAAGGGGCGGAGGGGCGGAGCGAGCGGTTGCCCAGGTGACCCGACCCGCGAGCGTCCCCTGGCGACGAGCCGGGAGGGGCGGGGCAAGCCGGTCGTCGTGACGTCATCACGCTGCGCGCTCTCACGCCGGACGGGCTCTGAGGGCGGGGTCGGCTAAAGGCAGCGCAGTCTTTTGGGGTGTGCTTAATGGACTAGAAAGCTAGCAAGTTTTAGGGGTTGTGGCTCCCCAAGATGAAGTTTGTTCCTAGTGTTCAAGGTAGCAATTAGCAAAACCCTTCACTAGGCTGCAGGAATGGCCAAGTCTACCGACTGCCCTTAGGACTTTCTCCTTTGCTGGCGCTGGTGTCCGGGCCGGGGAGCTGCTTGGCTGGACCCTGCTCAGGACGTGGTGTGGCCTTTCTGTTTAGATCTATGCCTGTGATGGCTTTAAAGACTAATGTGATCATAAGCGCTAGGAATAGTCAGCACTGAAACAACACAAACACTGCCATAGACACCGAGAGAAGCAAAGGGAGGGAGTTCCTGGGGTGGCTTGCCTGGATCCAGTGTTGGTACCTGTCTGCCCACCAGACTGAACAGGCATAGCCTGTGCTGTAGTAGAAACATAACTTTATGACGAATGTCACCTTCTCTACAATTTATCACGTGGTGATGTGATCCCTCACTTGGGACCCACACCTGGCTCGAAGCCTGCAGTAGTTATTCTACTTTTTTTGTTTGTTTGTTTGTTTTTTTCTGGTACCGGGAATCGAACTCACGACCTTGTGCTTGCTAGGCAGGCACTGTGCCGCTGAGCTGAATCCCCGGCCCCAACCTGCAGTAGTTAAAGGATGGGCTAGTCCTCTGTTCTAGGACTAAAGAGAGAAAACGGGAGAACTCAGTGAACCGATACCGTTGTCACCCGACTGGGTCTAAGGAGATTTCTGAAACTGAGATGAGGAATTTAACCAACCCCAAACACAGAATGTTTGAAAGTTCACTGACTCCCATCAAGGAAAAGAATTTTCAGGGCGAAGTGCGGGATGCAGAGAGAGGGGGAGAGGAGAGAGAGGTCAGTACAGTTTGAAGTTGGGAATATTTGTGTTTCAGGTGGAGGAAATCTTTTAAATTTGGCAGTCTCTAGTCAGGTCTTAGTTTAGTGGGTGGGGGAGGATGGCCCATCGGGGGAAAAAAGATACTGAGTTTTTCTGAAGGGCAAGCCTATTTAACTGGTGAAAGGATGGAATATTTGCACTTGTAAATAAAAAGGAAATGGCCAAATCCACTAGTGAAAGGCAATTGCCCAGGCTTTGAGAAGAGACATAGAGAAAAAAAAAATTTAAATTCAGCTTGCATCAAGAAATTGCAGTTTTTAATTCTAAAATTGTGATTTTCCTTGTCTCGTGTGTATTTTTTTTTATTTCTTCTGTCCTACCTCACCATCGTTAACTGTTACCAAGCTCTCTATACCTGAAAATGTTGAACTCGTTTCTCCTATTGTTCTGGGATTTTGAGGTGCTAGAGTCTCCTAGAGGTGGCTTCTAGATTCTTTCAGTCCTGAACAAAGAATTGGTCCAGACAAATGCAAAATGTAGAGAGGTTTTACATGTATTAAACTTATGAAAAGAAAAGAAACATGTTCTGCAGAGCAAGTGCTGGCCAACTACATGTAAGAAAAGAAGAACATCTTACAAACTACAGGGTGGGCCACTAAGAAAGAGTTAACAGTGGCCACCACCTTGAGGGAGGTGCTCCTTTATATCTCCCACTCCTCAGGCTGACCTCAGGTCTAGGCCATCCTATCAAAAACCTGCCTAATTCTTGCAAGAATTGAAGATAGCACTCTGATTGGTTCCAGGTATAGGGCTTTGGGGACTGTTCTGCGCATGTGTCCTGAAACTATGATTGACAGGTCACAGCCTCTTCTCCAGCAGGTGTGCCACATCCTAATATCCTAACAACCCATAGGCTAGTTCATCCCATTCTCTCCACATGAGTTAAATCTCATTTGTTAAAAATGACCACACGGAAACTTGTACAAACAACTCTGGGAGCACAGCCCAGTGTCAGTATAACCCATTATCCTAATTCTGCTATCAAAGAAATTAGCCCTTCTTGGATATCCACAAAGGAGTCAGACCCTACAATCAGCTGTGGTTCTTTCAAGCCTATGTCGAGCACTAGCCTTCTGTGTCTCTCAGTTACAGAAGCTGTTACTAGACTGGGTGTGAGGAAGTCTCAAAAGCTGAAGTAATGAGAGTAACCCACCCTTCTTGTAGAATAAGTTTGCAGGCTTGCTGACGCTCATCGTGAAGAAATAATTTTTAGGACTAAGAGGCACAAGAAGGGTTTTAGGCAGGAATTAAAAGGTATACACTTGAAGAACTGGAGTGCAGGCCTGAGACAGCGAAAGAACGGGAGGGGGTGCAATTGTTTCCTGCAACAGGGACCATTTGTGTGTCTCCTGAGGAGCAGAAACCCCATGAAAAGGTGACCCACTCTCCAAAAGGGTAGTAGGCCATTTTACAGATATGGGCCCAGTTTGTTGGTTTTTTTAGTAGATAATTTAAACACTTTGAATCTGTTTCGTTATCTTAGGATCAGATTCCTGCTGTTTACTTTCTCAAGTAAGCAAACTTATGCACTTCCAGTATCCCTGAGGAATTTTGATTGTGATGAGTCTGGAAGGAATGGAACCTAAATTTAATCAGGGGAATGTTGATATGGATCACCTTGGTAACTTCAATGGAGGCTCAGAAGTTGCAGTGTTCTTAAAAGTGCAATTTTTAGTTATGATGTTACATTTTTTTAACCTTTTATTTTTTCTGTCCTACCTCAGACCCATATTTCAAATGACTCAGGTTATTCCCTTGGGGCCTTTGTTGTTCAAAAAATACCTGAGGTAAGTATTTTATAGAAAAATAAAAAGGTCTTATCTTGGCTTACAGTTCCCAAGGGTTCAGTCTGTGGACTGTTGGCCGTGTCCATTTGGCCTGTGGCAGCACGGTGTGCTGTGATGGGACTGACTGTTGGACGACTGTCCAGCTTGTGGAGGAAAATGCGCCCCCCCACCCAGCCAGTCTACTTCAGTTTCTGTTAGTTGCCCAGGTAACCTCCAGTTTATTTTAATTCTTGTTCCAATTCCTGTTATTTCTGTTTCCCAGAAACAGCTGGTCACTGTGATGCACATTGTAAGAAACAATCCCCAGTTGACAAGCATTCTGCCTTTGTACTTCCGCTCTGCTACCTCATCAAAACCTCCCCTCCTTAGCCTTCTGTGCCTAGTATTTTGAGAATGAATCCCTATCAAGGATGACATAAATAGATCTGCCTCCAAATCCTGGGTGATGTTTTGGTGTTTCTGTTTGACACTGCAAGCTCAGAGTCACAGAGAAGAAGAGACTAGAAGATATTCTAGATTCAAACTGTAGCACCTCCTTACTAGGCTAGGTATTAGAGGGAAACACCCCACTTCACCGTCATCCCCAACATGCAAAATTTTGGGGGGTTAGGGATGGGGTGATCAGCCATTTTCTTGTTCAACAAATTTTGTCAGTTTCTTTTCTCCCTGCTAATCCATTTATTGAAAATATATTTGAGCAAGCAGACCAAGAGGTATGGAATAAATCCTTATAGTCCTTTTTAAATTTTTCACATATAGGAGAAATTCTGGTTAGAAAGAAAACAAAAAACTTCAGACCAATTGTTATAAATCACAGTAACAATCTTTCCAATTGTTATAAGTCACAAATTTAAACTTCTACTGAATCTGAGCCATTTTTAGTGACTGTTGGGCCCTCCAATGAATTGACTTGTGTAATCCTTTTTGTGCTCTGACCACCTAAGTATTGTAGTAGTATTGGGAAGTTGCTTGGTTTTCATGTTAGAAAGGCCTCATGCCACTATGTTGCTGACAAGAGTGACTAGGTACAAAGAAAGTAGCTGTTTAATAAGAAAATTAGAATATACAGAAGAGAAACTGAGACATTGGGCAGGTGAAGGTATACACATCAATCCTTTCCCTCTTCCTCAGTCTTGTTTGAATTTGGCCAGGGTTCATTCAAATCTTTAATGTCTGTACTGATTGTTTATAATTACAAAGGGAGTACATATTCATTTATAAATATTCTAGAGATGAATAATTTTAGGGCAGAAAAGGCCTTTTTATAAAGGCACTCATCCTCACCTTAAAATACTCCTCTTTAAGAACTTAAAGAGTTCTTTAAGAACACACTCATCCTCACCTTAAAATACTCCTCTTTAAGAACTTCAAGTTTTTTTTTTATAAACACATTCAAATTTATTCAGTGAAAATTCTGAAAACCTGTAGACAGTCATTTCTTGGTCCTGTGGACTTGCCATACTTATCCTAAACCTGCGGGAAGGTTCCAGGATTTCTGTGGACTCTGCTCCTTTTTATATCCAAAGAAGTGGCCATAAAAAGCCAATCAACCCCAAGGGAAGCAATCCTGAAAACTTTCTGTTAAAACTTAGACTCCCTTGGCTGTGTTAAGAGAGCTAGGGGCCTTCAGTGGAAAGAAAGTTTGCAAGAAAGCAAGTATTCTTCCCTTCTGACCCTTCAACTTTTGAATAATGCCTCTACTCTAAAGCCAAGTGAGATAATATAAAGTAAATAGTCACCCATGAAGATGAAAGGCGTGTCCTGAATTGGGGAGTGGTTCTATATCTTGTTGCAAGGGTGGATGCTCACAAAATGAGGAGTATCTGTTCAGAAAGGGTATGGGTTGATTCCTTTCCATATTCTGCTTCTACCAACAGTAGCCCAGTAACCTCAAATGGAAGGCTTTGATGGATGGCTCCTGAGACTCAATGTGTCTACATCTTTATTCCTGAGGAGGACTAATAAGAGAAGAAATAGTCTAGTACAGAAGACTTTTCTGAGAACTCTGTTTTCCTAGACAAGAAACATGTGGATAGTAGAAATTAAGGGAGCAGTCCCAAGTGGAAAAGCAGAACAGGAAGTCATGGCCTACAGAAAGTTTGCTATGATTCAAAACTAGACAAAAAATAAAAATGGAATACAATGAACATACATGTCAAAATTTGCAACAAAATTATTCATGAAACAAGAACTCAAGTTCTCTCA